CTAGGCCATCCACAGCGAGACGCGCTTTATTCTAGGGCTCCCACACGACAACGAGCAACGATGCTGGGGACGACAACAGATCAGACTCGTCGGCGGTATTGTAGAAGGGAGCGAGCGACTCGAGATTTGAATATTGCCGCATGTCCCGTTGATTCGGCTCGATGCGGTGGCAGGGAGCAATGTTGGGACTGCAGTGGCGGTGCCCGTGCTGCGGGTCCGACGCCTTTATTGGATGCGATGTCATCGCCCTTCCCCTACAGCGCCCGCAATAGGTCACTGAGCCAGCGGATGGTGGCGGCGGCGATAGTGGCGAGGTAGAGAAGGAGATGCGCGAGCGCGCGAGAGAGAGAGAGGGAGGTAGAAATAGTGTGAGGGGGCTCACCATTGGCAAGCGAGTGTGACTGACCAGATTTGTCGAGTGAGGGGAGAGATTCGGACAACCAGATAGCTTGGCCATACAGTTAGAGAGACAATTGGAACATGATTTTTGGTTAGAATTGTCAAATTTTGGCTTGAAAAGCTATTTGAAGAGGCTGAAGCTATCTCCGTATTTATCTATTCCTCTTTTAGAAAATAATAAAAATAATAAAAAATGATGTACCAGTCGTTCGGTGTCTCTCTTTTGTGGTTTATAATACCCGTCCATAAGATGAGAACTGTGATGCAGAAGTTGACATGGATCGAGAACGATCTGTACCGGTCATGCTACATGTACACGCTGTATTGTAGTCTATTTATTGGCAGGGAATGCGAGCTGCACAGTAGACTGTAGGCCATCTAGTTACGGTACTCGCAAGTTGCAGAAGGGCCAAATTTTAGCTGGAGTGTTTTTTCTTTAAAAAAGAAAATCTTTAGCTGGAGGACATACGTGCACCTTATGGAATCGTGGATGGCTGTAGATGGAGTGCGGGGAATCTGGATTCACCAGTTAAGCCCGGTTGATAATTATAGGGTTGGAGCATGACCGATGAGATTTGTGCCTGGCTGGCCAATGGATTGCAACTATTGCAGCAGCAGCAGCGATATTACTACTCGTCTTATTTAAAAAATTTATGTAAATATAAAAAACAAAAAGATGTGCTTAAAGTACTTTGGATATTAGATAATAAAGTAAGTCAAAAAAATAATAATAATAATTTTAAATTTTTTTAATAAGACGAGCGATCAAATAATACAAGTAAAAACTCAAAATCCTTATATTATAGGACGGAGGGAGTGTGTCAGCCCCCCCCCCCCCCCCCCCACACCACACACACACACATGATCCTGCCCAAAGGAGGGGAAATGGTCACCCGATGACTTCAATGGGTAGATGGCCCCTCTGTGAACAAATTGACAGTAAAAATAAACAGCTATTATTGTCGTAGCATCCGTAGTAGTCATCCATCTGGTCAATTGACCGGATGATCGACTTTCTGTACATCTAGTCCGGTGAATATCTTTTTCATGAAACTCAGATAACTTTACAATAGTATATAGGAGTATTTTGCAACTACTACCACGGTCCCAGAATATAATAATAAATATAATAATTTTTAAATGAATGTGATATATTCTAATATTACGAATTTAGATATATGCATGTCCAAATTTATAGGTGTGTCACATTTACTAAAAAATTATTATATTTTAAGATGGATGAAGTATCTTTCTTCATATGAATACATTGAGTGCGCGAAGAAAGTTTTCAAAACTGTGGAGTGTAGTCCTTGAATGCACAGTACGTATGAGGCCACCCTCTTGAATTGGGGTTCTGCCTGATCATTTGATGAGGACATCCTCCACTATTACCCGCTGGCAAAGACGTAAAAGTCGGACTACGACCGTGTGAGCCTCTGAATAATTCCACCTTGCTTAGATTGGGAGGAGGAAGCCACCTTAAAAGGGAGAGCCACCCTTCCCCTATTGAATTAGTCTTTTAGGGAGATTGGGCCTTTCCCTGAGTGGGTGTGCCAAAGAACTGTTGGGATCCAGGCAACCTAAAGTTATTGGGCCTCGGCCAACCCCACCTAGGCCGGATTATTATCATTTGGTATCAGAGCTGGGCCCTTGTTAAGGGGGTGCGAATGATGAGGACATCCTCCACTATTACTCGCAGGCAAAGACGCAAAAGTCGGGCGGCGACCGTGTGAGCCTCTGAATAATTCCACATTACTTAGCTTGGGAGGAGGAAGCCACCTTAAAAGAGAGAACCACCCTTCCCCTATTGGATTAGTCTTTTAGGGAGATTGGGCATTTTCCTTAGTGGGTGTGCCAAAGAACTGTTGGGGTCCAGGCAACCTTAAGTTATTGGGCCTCGGCCAACCCCATCTGGATCGGATTGTTATCATCATTGGACCCTGGCACCCTGTTCAACATTGAATTTTATTATTTTTAAACCTTTTTATTATAATTATTTTAAAAATATATCTATAGATTTTTTTTTTCATAACTGATCTATTAGCAACATAAAAAATAGTGAATATTGTACTTATACTCTACCACATTGCTCAATTGTCACCTAAGTAGAGTGAATATAAAAAACATCGACTCACCTGTCACCTATCTCTCCCATTCCTCTCGCATAACTTAGTGATCCTCCTGCTCAGCGTAGAGGTGATGGTAGGTCCAACATTTTAGCCTACAGAACTTAAGGACCGGGTCTGAGATGGGTTAGGATGAAAATTTATACATTCTGACTAAACAATATAAGATCTAAGAGTTGTAAAAGAACACATGGGACTTAACCCATTACCACCCTGCCTCAATGATGAGGTGTGACCAGCAACTGCCTTAACGTGCTTACTTTCATCGTCGGTCACCGCTTTTCTCTCCAAATCCTATCGCAAAGACGTGTAGATGCCACAAAATTTGGAATGAGATCGAGAGACTACGCATATTAGGACACTCTATGGATGACAAGCTTGAGGGAGGACAGCAACTTTGGATGAATGAAGAACTTGATGGAGACCTTTTCCACCATGCCATTGCTTTTCTCTTTCCCTCACCATCACAGACGCAGTCTTGCTAGCCACTTGCATCCCTTCTTTAGCCTTTGGACTGCCAGATCCGGTGGCAATGAGCTCGTCCAATCCAGTTTTTGTGACCGTGAGCGTTTCAAGACCAACATCGATGATGTTTGTGGGCACCACACATCTTCTTCTTGGACTCTCCGGGTGAAAAACTTATTTCGGATGCCTGGAACAATGATGATGATATTCAAGATATCGCAGAAGGCGTCGCATTAAAGTTTTTCTGTTGGTGCAATATCCTAGAGACGGTAACTCTATTAGATTGGGTTCGTTTGGCGATTTTAAGATCTGGACTAATGACTGATTTACAACTCAGTTTATCTACGACGCTTTCTTCCGATTTGGTTCGACGTCAGTTCACCTGTGGTGATAGACGTGAATTTCAATTGAGAAAGGATCAACACAGCTGGTTTCAGATATTCTAATTTGCATGGTTTTAGAAAAACAAAGACTACGTACAACATGTAAGCCATCGGTAGAAATAACATTTATACATACTCTCACCAACCATTGAAGGAGACCAATGTTTTTAGGATGGTTTCCTTACTAGTTTTGTTGTTATTAATCAAGATGTAATATTGTAATTCACGGTTATTTGTCGTAGAAGCTCTGTAATTGATGTAACTTCTCTGAAGTAAACAACGGAATGAATTCTATTGTCTTGTTCTAAAAAAAATCTATTGTCTTAAAGAAAATCAAACCATGAAACTAGTCAAATGGACAATGAGCAACGCATGACACAGTTGCTTGTCAATGTGCTGTGGCCGTCCTTTATGACTTTTGTTGTACTCCAATTTCGCGGATAAGTCCATTCGGTTACGTGTGATAGAGAAGTCTTTCTTTCTTTCTCTGTTCCTGTATCTCTGGAGTCTGCGACTTCGGGCTATAACCCTTGAGTTAATCGTCTTTAACGATTCAACCTGCACTGTCCAGGTCGGTATGGAAACTTTGACGGCAAACCACCATATGCATTTACCATGCTGCAGTGTACGTACAGATGTACAGATCTGCAACCAGTTTGGAAACACGTGCGTAACGACCTGAATGTATAGATTCAGATAACCGTGAATCACAAACAACATCACGATCAACTCTGTAGAGTGTACCATCAAAATTTTGCACCTAGATTAGTTTGGATTACGTCTCTTCGAGGTAATCTGAAAGGCCTCCGTCCCAACACTTAAGGGCACCCATAATGGTTATCTATAGACTCTCTATAAGAGATCCATGTCAGTATATTTTTCTAGTTGGAAGAGATTAAATGAAGAGAGAGAGCAAAGCTATTTACTAACCTGGAGATAGTCTATAGAGAAAAACGAGGCAATGTATTAGAGAGCTATAGATACCCATGTAGACATACTATTGAGATGGTTTACTATTAATCTAATCTATTGCTGAGATGTACATGTTTTAGATAGCACCTTACTTTACCATTGCGGATGCTCTTATGTAGCCGAGTGCCGACAGATCACGAAAGGATAGCAAAAGGCACCGGCAGGGCTGCAGCATGAATGCACCTAACTTCGCAGAGCCCATTCGGCATTTCTCCATTCTACACGAACGTGGTGCGCACGCAGAGCACATGCCCCGGCGCGGCGCGGCGCGCATCGGCGCATGCGCTGATGTGCCGCTCGCTGCGGCTGCGCAAGCGCAGGCGCAGGCGCAGGCGCAGGCGTACCTACACCACGCTGGCGCGTAAAATATCCTGCACGCTGCACGGCTGATTCCAGATTTCCAGTAGGTGGGCCATAGGCTGCTACGGTGCTACCGCCACAACGGATCGGCATCAAGTAATGCTAATAAACAAATTCAATACCTCCATCCAAGCCAAATCCCAAGACGTTAACCACTTAATTTGTTCATACCACCCATCTTTTTTTTTTGAAAGTGAGGGAAAGATGTTGACTTTTTCATACCACAAACACAAATATTGTTTGCTTTGCGGCATTTCCTGCAGCTGCACTATAAATACGAGTTGTCCAGCGCCCATATCACGTACAAACTCACCAATTCGACCACAGTCACCACAGATCTTCTTCCTTCCCGAGACGCCAGGAAACGCCGGGAGAAAGCATGGGTTCTCTGGGAGCAGCAGGTAAGCCGCACGCCGTGTGCATGCCGTACCCGGCGCAGGGGCACATCACCCCGATGCTGAACGTGGCGAAGCTGCTCCACGCCCGCGGCTTCGACGTCACGTTCGTGAACACCGAGTACAACCACGCCCGCCTCGTCCGCACCCGCGGCGAGGCCGCGGTGGCGGGCGCGCCGGGCTTCCGGTTCGCCACCATCCCCGACGGCCTGCCGCCGTCGGACGACGACGACGTCACGCAGGACATCCCGTCGCTGTGCCGCTCCACCAAGGAGACCTGCCTTGCCCCCTTCCGCCGCCTCCTCGCCCAGCTGAATGACCCCGCCACGGGCCACCCGCCCGTCACCTGCGTCGTCTCCGACGTCGTCATGGGTTTCTCCATGGCTGCCGCCAAGGAGCTCGGCCTCCCCTACGTCCAGCTCTGGACAGCCAGCTCCATCAGCTATCTCGGATACCGTCACTACCGCCTCCTCATGGAACGTGGCCTTGCCCCACTCAAAGGTGAGTACGAATTTCTCTGCGTACGTTAATGCGCACGTCAACCATTTCTGCTCGGTCATATCGGCACCTGTCACGTCTGCATGCATGCATCCACCTTCGCCGTTGAGTGCGTCACACAGTAACAAAAACAGCTTACACATCTTGTTGTTTGTCTCGGCATGAACAGATGTCGATCAGCTGACGAATGGATACCTTGACACGCCGGTGGAAGACGTGCCGGGGCTGAGGAACATGAGGATCAAGGACTTCCCGAGCTTCATACACACGACGAACCCGGAGGAGTACATGGTAGGCTACGTCATCGAGGAGACGGAGCGCTGCAAGGATGCCTCGGCCATCATCGTCAACTCCTTCGGCGACCTCGAGGGTGAGGCGGTGGCGGCCATGGAGGCGCTCGGCTTGCCCAAGGTGTACACGCTCGGGCCGCTGCCGCTGGTGGCGCGCAAGGACCCGCCCTCGCCGCGGCGCTCGTCCATCAGGCTCAGCCTGTGGAAGGAGCAGGAGGAGTGCCTTCAGTGGCTCGACGGCAAGGAGGCTGGCTCCGTCGTGTACGTCAACTTCGGCAGCATCACCGTCATGACCAACGAGCAGCTGGTGGAGTTCGCGTGGGGGCTGGCCAACAGCGGCAGGGAGTTCCTGTGGATCGTCCGGCGCGACCTCGTCAAGGGCGACACGGCCGTGCTGCCGCCGGAGTTCCTGGCCGAGACGGCGGAGCGCGGCCTCATGGCGTCCTGGTGCCCGCAGCAGGACGTGCTGAACCACCCCGCCGTGGGCGCGTTCCTGACGCACAGCGGCTGGAACTCGACGCTGGAGAGCTTGGCCGCCGGCGTGCCCGTCATCAGCTGGCCATTCTTCGCCGACCAGCAGACGAACTGCCGGTACCAGTGCAACGAGTGGGGCGTCGGCATGGAGATCGACAGCAACGTCAAGCGCGGCGCCGTCGCGTGCCTCATCGCTGAGCTCATGGAAGGTCAGAAGGGGAAGGAGATGAGGAGGAAGGCGGAGGAGTGGAGGGAGAAGGCGATCAGGGCGGCTAAGCCCGGCGGCTCGTCTCACCGCAACTTCGAAGAGCTGGTCCGCCACGTGCTCCTGGCCAAAGAGTCGTAGCTCCTCGCGTATGATTTCCTTTGCGCTAGTGTCGTTGTCATGAGTGATAAGCCATGAGGTGATCAGTGTTGTATTGTGTATTTGTGGCTACTGGCCTACTGCCTATATATACTGGATGGTGCAATATCACCCTGTTTGATTTACATTGTTCAGCCTATTATTGTAATGGATTATCTACTCATTATTTTGATAAATTTAGATATTTAGAAAATAGCTTCGTCAAACTAGTTGTTTAGAGAAACGTCCAGGGGTCTTCCGGCTAGCTACACAAGATGGTGGCTAGACGACCTAGGTTCGAAGCCTCACCCCTTCAAATTATTTGATATTAGGTCATTATCTAATATTCGCGTCTTTTTTCAAACAAGTTGTTTAAGTAATGAAATAGAAACAATACAGTAGAAGAACATTTTTTTTAGAAAATACGTTCTCCTGAAGCGTAGAGCAAATTATTTATTTCAATAATTTGCTGAAAAATCTAAATGAACCGGAAATGCATAGGAGTGGTCGATCGGCAGGAACCTAAAAATGTTGATTTTAAAATTTTGTGGACCATGATTTGCTCACAGTGGACCAGGATTTTTATCATGGGTATGCCCCAAAAATCTCAAAGCCATATAAAGAGTCTATTATGCACACAAATACAACAAAAATGACTTGAATTTATCAAGAGCATGGTATAAATAGCATCTCCATATATAGTTATCTTGCTAAAGAAAGGAAGAAAAGAAGTGCACACGTGCTTTCTGCTTCATATGTGATTGTTTCAGTTAATCTAGGTCGCAAAAACATGCCATCTTTGCGTTCGCGAAAAAAAAAAAGCCATCTTTGAACTTCTTGGTTTCAAATTTCAGTTCTCTATCTTATTTGCGGGGAAAGCAGGTAGGCAGGGGCTCACCTCTTACAGCTGCGTGCTGCACTAGACTCCGTTTCACCGGCTGCTGCAGCGCGCCGTCGTGCTCGTGGATTCACTGATCCCGCCGTTGTGCTCGCGGATTCGGTGATCCCATCGCCATGACACAAACAAAAACGACGAGACAAGAGAGATAAACTAACTCTACTCGTTATCTGTGCGTTTAGACTTCCTGCCTTCCTGGGCTTGTACTTTTGCTGCGACGAGGCATCATCAAATCATCTTTTTTTTTTTGAACGAATGGCATCATCAAATCATCGATCGATCATTTACGCTCATCGCTCACACCACTCGTTTAAAAAAAATGCGATTTTTTAGGTATGCCTGTGCCCACGCGGAACCCCCTTGTCCACCCCTGATTGCTTGTATGATATGGAAAAGAACGCTGATATGGTGGACATTCAGGGTTCAAAATGACGTACATAAAATTAAGTGTAAGGAGATTTTCTTGGGAAACAGTTATAGTACCTTTCTTCTTCTTCTAATTAGAGTTAGCACTGTAGCACTGTAGTAATATATCGGAAGAAAAAAAGTTAGTAGCTGAACACGGACCGGCCATGCTACTCTTAGGCCCTCTTCTTTTCTCCAACAAAAGTTGAATAAAGTTTTGATACTCATGACCGCTTCTCAAACTGCTAAACGGTACGTTTCATGCAAATTTTCTATATGAAAGTTGTTCTAAAATACTGATTAATCCATTTTCTAAGTTTGTAATAATTAAAACTTAATTAATCACACATTATTATCACCTCGTTTTACGTGAAACACTTAATTTTTATCTTTATCTTCAAGAGATTTAAACACCACCTTAATAGCTGAAGGGTATGCCTCTATATGTTTACACACCCAAAATCTATAACTAATATAAATATTTGGATTTTTCCGGTCGTCACATTACGCCTTCGTCCATCTCAGCCCGCTTTTGTCCGTTACCAGGCAAGCCTCCCCTCTGTTGCCCTTCACCCCTGCAAATCCTTTGTCCATCTCAATGTTCTTTTCCACTCAAGAAGCCAACCGAATCGGAAGCATGAACACATTAGATCCAAGATCTAAAAGTCCCTAAAAAATCCAATCGTCACCCAATAAATTTTTGTCCGTAATCCAACTAAGCAGCACCTTCTGTCCCTGCACGCGCACTGCGTTCATCGCGTATGCCAGTCAAAGCAAAAAAAAAAAAGAAAAATCAGAGATCGATACGGGCAAATCACAAAATCAAAGATCGATTAAAAACCCAATCACGACAAATATCATCCAGAGTCCGTATCAAATCTAACCCAAATTTCCTCCCAAACCCAATCATGTGAAAAAATCGGGTCGAAAGAGACAACTTTATGGTATAAGACCGATTGAATCCGAGGAGAAAAAAAAAGAGAAATCGAGTCGGAGAAGGAGAAAATCACATATACACTCGATCCGGTGGAGGGGAAAATTGTTGTCATCTTCAACTGGGGTGTTGGCCAGGGAGAAGGAGAGGAGAGCCCCCGATGAACTCTCACCCAGATCCGCGCCGCCGCCATCGAGCTTGCCGTCGGACGAGAGTGGTGGCACCGGCCAGGGGAGTAGGAGAGGACAGGCCCTGACGAGCTCTCGTGAGGAGGAGGGGCCGTGGTGGTGGATGTGGATGGAGAGGCGAGCGCCGACGCTGACCCCTGGACGCCGTCGACGGCTCGCGTCGCGAGTCGCGCGTCTGCTGATGGATCGATCCTGTCACTGCCGCTTGGGGAGCGAGGTCGCTGGAGAGGGGGACAAGCAGCAGCGGGGTCACCTCGTGGGACGGTCTTGGAGACTTGGTGAATGGTGGATTCGGCTGAGTGTTGGAGCTGGAGAGAGATGAGGATGGAGAGAGACCGAGGCTGTGTTTAGATCTAAAGTTTGATCCAAATTTCAGTCCTTTTCCATCACATCAACCTGTCATACACACACAATTTTTCAGTCACATCATCTCCAATTTCAACCAAAATCTAAACTTTGCGCTGAACTAAACACAGCCCGAGAAAAGGGGTGGAGTTGAGAAGAAAAATATATGGAGAGAGAACCGGAGGTAGGAGAAAATGGAAGGGATGGTGACCAACAGCTCATGCACAGCAGAACAGGTGCCTCATGCACAGCAGCACAGGTGCCTCCTGACTATTTTATCATTTTTAATTTATTGATATTCTTAACTTAAATATATGCTGAGATAAAAAAAATAATCAATTGTGAAAAAAATATAATTTTTAAAATAAAATAAACTGCAAAATAATTAATAACATGTCAATTAAACTTACATATCTTAACTAATTAAAAGATTCGTAATTTTTCGTTTGTCACAGGACAGACGAAGGCTGCCTTCGTCCGTCGACACTGCGCCTTCGTAGCCCCCAAATCTCAATCGCTTTTAGAATCGGATACAGGGAAACACTTCCCAAAATCGGCACAACCAAATCGGATGCACCAACCACTAGGAAAAAAAACAAGACTCAACCACTCTTTGCCCCAAAAAAATCAACCAGAATCATCACAAAGTCACAAAATAATCGTCCAAGAAGAACAACAATATACATCACAAAACTTCACTCACCTGCCGTCGGATCTGCCCTCAGCAATCGCCACCGCGGCCCACGGCCATTGCCACCGCCGCCGCCCTCGGCCATCGCCACCACCGTAGGATCCATCCGCGGCCGCCGCCGACGCCACCACCACCGCTGGAGGGAGAAGAGAGGTGGCGGAGGGAGCTGCCGCTGCTGGATCCGCACGCGGTCGCCGCCACTGCTGACAGATCCACCAGTGGACGCCGCTGGATCAGCCGCGGGAGGAAGGCGAGAGAGGGCGGAGGGAGCCGCCGCCGCTAGATTTGCCCGTGGCCGCGGCCGCCGCCACCACCACCACTGGCAAATCTGCCTTGAAAGGGAGGCTAGAGGAAAGGATGGAGCCGCCCCTACCGCCACCGCCACCGCCACCGCCACCGCTGCTATATCCACCGCGGGAGAGAGGCGAGAGGGAGAGGAGGAGGGGGCGAGGGAGACGAGACAGGGCGAAGGGAGCGGTCGCCGGCGAGGGAGGCGAGACGGGGAGGAGGAAGCCGGCGGCTCTGTCGCCGCCGCCGCTCGCGGGGAGGGAGGAAGGGCGCCGCCGCAGCTGCTCGTGTTTAGGGCTCCGGACCGTCCATTTGATCGGACGGCTCTGGCTTTTCCCGCATCGGGCCGCCGGACTATTGGGCCTCCAAATGGGCCGCGACTAAAATCAATGTTTTCTCTAATTTTAAGCATCTTTCTATTTTCAGAAATAGCATTAATACCATTTTAAGTTTTTATGACTGATTATTAATTTAGTTCCAACTAAATTGAATAAACTAAAAATTTGTCTAGATTTTTCTCATGATATGGATTTATTTTTTGACTAAAAATTAATTATTTATTTGTCATGATATAGATTTTAAATTTATACTAAAGTTAAATAATATTAATTTTTTTAATTCTATATGGACTATATTCTTCTTCCAATATTCCTATTTTTTTTATTGTTCTAATTAGTTTTCTATATGGACTCTAAACTCTTCTTTCAATATTTTTTTATTTTGAATTTTAATTCTTTTTCTCAATTGTATTCCTATATGTACTCTAGGCTCTTTTGGAGAATATTCTAGACTCCTCATCCAATATTATTTATTTTATAATTTATACTTTATAATCTATCCAGTTTAGGTTTTTTTTTTGGCAAAAGATTTGTTTTATGCAGATAATCCGATTGGACAACGTGATTTTTTTTAGAAAAATGAAAGAGTCCTTATCTACGATGAGTTCTGCTTATTTTTATATTTTAATCAATTAATATGAGAATTTCTAGATCATAAGAGAAAATGTGGATGCTCATTTTTCTATTACTTTACTAAGTTAATAACATTAGTTTTTCCCGTTGTAACGCACTATTGTATAATAATTTATTATGAGTTACTATATTTCTTTCTATCATTTGAGACTATTTCTAGCAAGCAAAATTACCAAATCACTTTGAAATAAATTCGGTTAAAAACAAACATTTTTAATTTTAATACACCATGCTTCGCACGGGCATTTTGCTAGTACAGTACAGATAGCTATAAGAAAGTTTCCAACTAAAAATTAAGATACACAGATACACCCACTGCAGATGACTGAGGGAACCGGTTTTGTGTTGAGAGGCTCAAGTGACGCATACCTAAGGGACATGATGTGGACTTTTCCCCACACAAAATACTGTTTCAGCACAGACCATCATCCAGCCCAAACAATTCTAACGGCATCGGTGGGGCTTTTTAACACGGAAGAACAGGCCCTTCAGCATAGGCCCATAACAAATAATAGAAGACCAGAACATTAAACAACTCAACGGACTAATGCTCTGAGAAATACGACCAGGAGTTGATCAAAATAGGCATTGACCAAAATTTAATTTGAAAGAATTAGCAGGGGCCGCGCGAACGCGTACCCCCTCTATCACAAATTATGACGTCCACTCTCCCACTTGGGGAGATGGTAAGCCAACGCGCCCACCAAGTGCAATGTGGGGCATTGGCCTAGGCCACGGGCCCTTCTTGATCGCCCGTTGACCCCGTCCAGGTAAGTATGTTGCAACGGAGCACCAGCCGCGGATTATATAGGAACAGCTCCCACCCCCATCACCTCGAATTGTCGAGGTGGTACTAAACGAAAGCATATCGTCGTGCAGGCTTGCAGCCGCCTGGTTAGGCCTACATTGTGTGGGCCTTGCTTTTTCGATGGGCTTTCTCTCCGGACTCCGTAGTGGCGTATGGACTGACGGGCTGAGCTACAGAATCCACCGTAGGCCCAACACTGGAGACCGCCTGACGAGTTGCTGAATTCATCTCAACAAAAATAGAAGGGACTGTCTAGGTTGCTGAATTTGATTTATCTGATTTATACAGAAATATGACATAAGCAATTTCTTCACGTAGCGTCATTACGTGCTAGGTTTGCGCCTGCCCTCTCTTCACACGCTTCTGTCGCTCGTGAGACAGAGAACGCAGCGTCATGGAATATTATCTCCCGGAAAGATAACATCCTTTCTTACGTACCAATCTGAACCAGATTACCAGAATAAAAATATAATATACTCCTATCTCCTTTTAAGATCTCTATATATACAGGGGCAAGGTGAGATATTTAAGATTGGCTTACTCTACTTATGTAATACTTTTAAGGGCAAAAGGAAGGATACGGGTGTTATACATCATCTCACGCTTCTACTGTTATGCGATAGACCAGGAACATATCGGTGATCCGCTAATTCTGAAGATACCGGTGATATTTCTATTTGAAAAAACTGTCAGGGCAACCCTGCGTCGTCGTCGCTACCGGCCACTGCACGGCGGGCGCGGGGGGACACCTAAGCCTGTGCGCCGCTACAGCGGAGGCCCGACAAGAACAACGCCTCTGCAGGTGCTTCCAAGCGCGGCGAGCCCCATACGTGAGAGAGAGGGGCCGCACCGCACCACCGGGGGGACACCTCAATTAATAAACACATGGCGAGAAACCGGAAATCGTACCGAGATACGGTCATCGATCAGGTTCAAAAACGTGATCCGCCACCGTGCGCCACACAAACGCACCTCACGCAAGATTACAACGAGACCACAGGGCAATCAATCAATCATCACGGCCGGTCCAGGGCTCCACGGCGAGCGCAGCCTGCTGCTTTTTCGGACGTGTTCGAGACCCGGTCAAGGGCGCTAATTCAGATCGCCGCTGTACGTGGGGGCGCAAAAACCTTGTGACGATGGGATTCAGAGCTTCATCAGATTCATCAGAGGGTGTCACATGCAGCCATGCAGGCTTGCCCTTTGCCTTTTTAACATGCCATGAGCAGAGCATTACTTCTACTACTAGTAGCTAGGAGTACTACACTCTACTCTACACTGAATTTACTGCTCCCAATCACTCTTACATGTGCTAGTTAAAGTGTTACTCAACACAACAAAAATATGGCGATGAAAAACTGTGGTTGCAGCCTTGAAGAGTGGAGAGGGAGCAGAGCAGATTAACTAACCAAAACCTGACCATGGAGGATGATGGCCTGATACTCATCTACTGGCATAGTAGTACATATTCAGATTACAGAGGCGGAGCGCCGTCGAGAATTGAGCTAAGTAGACTGACATCTAGGGGTCGAAGAGGCGGCCGGCGCAGCGGCATTTCCAACCCAGCGGTTTGTAGTTGGAGTACTGCGCGAACCCGGCGACATCAACTCGGTCGGCGGCGCTCGCCGGGCGGCTAACCCCCGGCAGCGCCGCCACCTGGACGGGCGTGCAGGGGTTGCACGCGTTGCACCGGTTGTGGCAGCTCGGCGGCGTCGACCCCAGCCGCGACTTGTCCTCCGCTAGGCTCTGCACACAGCAAGCGCAATGCGCTTCAGGCGCGAACAGAAGCTATGCAGCCTACCTAACGTTCGTACGCCTGAAACAAGCGCGGGTGATAGCTGCAATACCTGAGAAGAAGACAGCGTCGTGCTGCGGATGCCGGCTGCAGCTCCGAGAAGGAAGCTCACCAGAATCATGGCCACTAGGAATGCTCGGTGAGGTGATCTCACGGCCATGAGACCATCTCGTTACAGCCAGCTAGTCTGTATTGGGGAGAGGTTGCCGAGAAGAGTGAAGCCTCCTGAACAGTAAAAGAAAAGAGAAGCTTCTTTGTGAAGCAGTGAGATTGGACAGTAAGCTAGCTGCTAGCTTCCTCCATGCGTCACCCTAGATTAGTAGAGACGACGCAGCTAGCTAGCTGGTTCTCCTTGGAGCTAAGGTTGGAGATGCGCAGCGATGGCGGCAGAGGAACGTAAGAGAGGAGAGTGGTCAGTGGCCTAAACGAGTACTAGCAAATTTGCGAAGTGGGAGGAGGAATGAAACGACATGGGCAAATGTACAAATAGAGGGGGCGATGCTGCAGAGTGGAGGGGCGCAGCAAGGACAGGGCCGTGACCACGCCTCGCTGCTACATGTTTACCTATCACAGCATCACTCCTTGGCGTGTAACCGCAGAGACCCGCACACGGCTTGTAGCTAGTGAGAATCTACCAGCTCATATATCTCTCCTTCCTGGGAAAAGAATTGAGCCGGTTTCTCGGAGCGAAGGAGAATTCGGAGGAGGGGAATTGAATGGCGCCATAACAATCGCTCTCATTTTGGGAATATGGTCCGGTTTGACACTTTGACCAAGTGAGTGAGTGAGTAGCCTGTCACAATGAATGAGCTAGCATAGCATCCCGGATGAACACAATGCCACATCACGATAAGGAAAGGTCGAGGAGCTAGTGGGGTTAACATTACAGGACTGATAGGTACCGGACGAGCGGGTCGAATTTCACTGTATTTTCATCCCTGCTAATGCTAGCGGCTAGTACTTGCTACTCGATCCAATCTCAATATGGCCGCTAGGACAGATAGGAATCGAGTATACGGAGCTGGAGAACAGCTCATATCTGTTCTCTGAATTCTGATGCACACCTCTGTTCTCCTCTGATGCATATGCATGGTCCAAATTCTCCGTGGCAGCAAAACCGAAGTAGACAGACGTCGGCTTGAGGAGTGAGAATGGGAGATGCATTACATCTTAATCAACCATGGCCTGGTTTAGTTCCTAATTTTTTCTTCAAACTTTTAACTTTTTCATCACATCAAAACTTTCCTACACACATAAACTTTCAACTTTTCCGTCACATCGTTTCAATTTCAATTAAATTTTTAATTTTAGCGTGGACTAAACACACCCCGTATCCATATGTGATCACCGAACAGTTCTCAGCGATATAGCGATATATGGGAGGTCGCATCAAAATGCGGTTTTCACTTTTCAGCTGCCAATAGCCCCGGTCAATGGCGTGTACACGGTGTAGAGGGTCAGGAAACAGGAGTACCCAACTCACAAGCAGCGCCGAGCAGGAAGAAGAACAGCAAGCGGTCAAACGCCGGAGGAGTAGGGCGGCCGTGCCGTTGGTAGGTTGGCAGCAGGCGCCGGCAAGGTTGTTAGGATCGGGATACTAGTATCGTTTTAGTCAAAATAATATCGTATCGTAGTATTGAGATACTATAAGATTTTTCTTTTTTAAGTTTAATTAATATTTATATTAATTATATACAGCCATATAAAAAAATATAGTAATGATATATGTCATGCAAATAGAGACATTTATCAAGAGAAACCATGTTGATTTTGATATATTTAATTGATTTTCATATAAATTTGAGCATATTTAGTTACAATATTTTCAAACCATGTTATTTTAAATAATAATTTGTAGTATCGTAGGGATCGTAGAATCGGAATACCACCTAAGATTTCGTAGGATCGTGTAGTAATGAATAGTAGGGTCGAGATACTATGAAAATTAGAATACTAGATGGGATCGGTATCGTTTCGGCTTGGTAGGATCGTAGTATCATAAGATATTAGGATATGAATCGGGATACTGACAACCTTGGGTGCCGGTTGAGAACTGAAATGCTGCTGAAACGGAGGGAAACCACGGCCTACGAGGTCATGTACGTACACGCCGTACATAGTTGGATCCATCAAACGTTCCCATCGGCATTAACCGATCTCCAAGACCCCTGTGAAGAGGCGTACATAGCTATATAGGCGAAGTACTGAACCGGTCTCCAAGAGACCAAGACCCCCGGTAAGAGCGACGACCAGCGTCCACCGTGATTTCACAGTACACGCAGAGCAACATGCAAGTATGCCACTCAGCCACTGGTTGTGATTGCAGGAAGTGACCAAAGTCTTGCAGCGACAATACGTGATGATCTATCTAGTCCAATTGCATCTCGGAGCCGCACAACGTGGGTGGCTGCAAGCCGGCAACGATGGGCTGCTCGCACGCAGACTGTGAACACGGAGGGGCTATTAACTTCAGTCTCTGACATGGTGTTTACTATTCATTGTTCGATGGATTCGGTTTGTATTGTATCATGGGGGCAATGGATTCAATTCGCCATTACACCCTCTGTTCTTTGTGTCTGGATATCATCAGTAGCAAAAGGCTGCACCCTCGCTTGCTTGTTTGATGAAGAGATGGGACTTTTCCACTAGAACTGCTAAGAGTAGGCAAACAATACTCACAGAATGGTGATTATTGAACGAAGAAGGCAGAGACACTACTCGCCAATTGACATCCTACTGCAGGTCTGCAGCTAGTACTAATATGCTACGCCATGGCCAAAAATCTCTTAAGCCATATACAGCATGGGCTAACGGCGGCGCACCGGATCAACTTGTAACTGTTAGTGTTGTCTATTGGATCACCTAGGTTTAGATCTAGTCGGGTGGTTCTATTTGCGATAGATGAACAACAATGGATGAATAAACAAGAGGGAGTGAGAGGGTTTAGGGATGTGACCAGTCGTTGTTGAGGAAGAAGTGCAGCCGGCCATCGTCGTTGTCGTCGCGGGCTTGACGTGGACGGCGGCGACGATGTGCTCGGCGACGATGGCAGTGATGCGGTTGCAGCAGCGACGGTGTCGACGACGAGGCGTGGCGCGGCGGTGGACTTCCCGTCACTGACTGCGCCCCCCTCGAGATCGGTTTAGGGTTTATGGGGTGGAGTGGCGGCGGCGACGAACCTCGTGTCTTGTGTCGTCCCGTCCTCCACCCCTCTTTATATGCAACAGTGTGACGGGGGCCCACCAGCCATTGGGCTGGGCGCCCCCGATCAGGGCGCGGGTCAAGGCCCCCTTGAGCCCAACGGCTCAAGGGGAGGGAGATCTATCTAACAATCTCCCCCTTGATCTCACTATTTCTTTTAGCTTTTTCTATTCCATCACAGATTTACATATAGAGCATGTTTCATCGTCACGGTTAATTACCGATGGATTCCACAGCCACTATACACATCTCTATTCAGAAACAGATACTTTAACTTTTGGGCCCTATAATGCAGGATTCATAAGGCTTCCCTTAAACCCATGCATGCTACATGTTCCTTGAACATGTTGGGAGGTTGGCCTTTCATGAGCGGATCCGCGAGCATCCTTTCTGTTCTAATGTGCTTGAGATTGATTGTTTGATCCCAGACTTCGTCTTTCACAACATAGTACTTTATGTCAATGTGTTTGGCAGCACCACTTGACTGATTGTTGTGAGAGTACATTACTGCGGGTTCTCTATCGCAGTATAACTTTAGTGGTTTCTCAATACTGTCAACCACCTTTAAACCGGGTATGAACTTCTTTAGCCAGTTCACCTGCCCCGTTGCCTCATAGCATGCTATAAACTCGGCATATATAGTAGACCCTGCAGTGATGGTCTGTTTTGATCTTTTCCATGAAATAGCTCCTACTGCCAGGGTTAACACGTATCCCGATGTTAACTTTGTATTATCTTTTGCAAAGTCAGAATCTGAATACCCCACTATCTGGAGCGATTCTGATTTTCTGTAAGACAGCATGAGGCCTTTTGTTCTTTGCAAATAACACAAGACTTTCTATACCAATTTTCAGTGCACTGGGCCTGGATTACTTTGAAATCTGCCAAGTAACCCGGTAACAAATGCCAAGTCAGGTCGTGTGCACACTTGCGCGTACTGTAGGCTTCCTACAGCTGACGCATATGGCTTTGTTTTCATTTCATTGAGCTCATACTGATTTCTGGGACATTACGATGCCCCATACTTTTCGCCTTTGACTATAGGAGCAGGTGTAGCACTGCATCTGTTCATATTGAATTTCTTCAACACCTTTTCTATATATGCCTTTTGAGAAAGTCCCAATGCATACTTTATTCTATCTCGGTGAATCTCTATGCCCAAAACATATAAATACTCACCGAGGTCTTTCATGTCAAAGTTTGAGGACAAGAATTTCTTTGTTTCCTACAGTAGACTGACATCACTACAAGCCAGTAGAACGTCATCTACATACAGAATTAGGAAAATAAATATCCCATTCTTAAATTTGAATCAATACAGTTGTCCTCGATATTCTCTTGAAAACCCAAAATTTCTTTATTGTCCCATCAAACTTCAAGTACCATTGTCTCGAAGCTTGTTTTAATCCATAAATTGATCTCATTATACGGCATCCCATATTTTCGTTTCCTTTCATGACGAAACCTTTCGGTTGTGCCATGTATACTTTTTTCTTCAAATCACCATTTAGAAATTCTGTTTTTACATCCATCTGATGTAATTCCAAGTCATAATGTGCCACTAGTGCCGTTATAATCATGAAGGAATCTTTACAAAAGACTGGAGAAAAGTCTCATTGTAATCAGCCCATTCTCTTTGCGTGAAGCCTTTTACCACAAGTCGCGCTTTAAACCTTTCTATATTCCCTCTGGAGTCATATTTGGTTTTGTAGACCCATTTACAGCCTACTGTTTTAGCTCCTTTAGGAATTTTTTCTAAATCCCAGACATCATTTAATATCATTGATCTCATTTCATCTTTCATGGCTTCCAACCATTCAGATGAGCGAGCGCTTCTCATGGCCTCTTCGTATGAGGTGGCATCATCCTCCATATGCGACTCTTCTATATTATAAACATGATAGTCATCACGGATAACCGATCTTCGGACTCTTTCAGACCTTCTAGGGGCCTCCACATTTGGCACATTATCTGTTTGAGACTATTGCAGCTCCTCCTCTGGTGTGGCAATAATTTCTGTTGAATCCTGTAAAACAGGTTCCTCACTTTCATTCATTGTTGCCATAGGAGAGATAACAACAGGTGTTGGTACCGCAACGGCATGCATTGCTGGCACAACATCAGTAGGTAGAGAGAAGAAAGGTTCCTAAGTAGACGGAGCGGGTACAGACACCCGCCTCTCCTCAAGATCAATTTCTCGAACTACCGAGCTCCCCCTAATCATTTCATCTTCCAAGAAGACGGCGTGTTTCGTTTCTTTAAACTTTGCACAACTGTTTGGGTAGTAGAAACGATAACTCTTTGATCTTTCAGAATAGCCAATAAAATGGCAGCTTACTGTTTTGGGATCCAATTTTCCAAAATTTGGGTTAAATACTTTATCCTTTGCAAGACTCCCCCACACACGGAGGATCCATAGCTCATACGGTGTTTTGGGCACCGATGCATTCTATGCATTGTATG